TTTCCAAAAAATCAGCAAATGCCTCAGCGTGTTTCTGCAGGTAGACCTCTGTATCTTCCTCCCTTAGAAATAAGTGGGTCATCTTAAAGAAGGCTGCTGGGCAATTATTTGAAGACACAATTAGTGTGGGGAAGTATTTACAATTTGGCACCTGAATTGTCAAGGGGTAGGCTTCAATAACATCTCTTACCCATATTTGGTCAAATTCATTCTTCGTTTATCCACCAGCGGTGCTTTAGATATTTCATCCCTCTCAATTCCTCTGCATTCTGTATTTGCAAAGCCACTGTCCTATTTCAGGCAGTAACTAGGGACTGAATTATGCAGCAAATCTTTGATTATAACCCCTACTCCTTCTGAAACCCATCTGTGCCCATCAGTCACTGGGGGCAGACCAATCTAATAGCTCCTGCCTCTCTCTGGAGGGGTGCAGCTCTCGAGACCTTCATAGCCAAGGCACAAGTTGACCATGGCAAAGGGACCAAGGATAGGCCCACCAGTTCCAGATCACATAGCCATTGCTTCAACAAGAAACACCAAATCAGGTGTGACATATATTCTTCTATATGTTATATAACATATATTCTCTTCCATTGAAGTAAGATTCTAAGCCAGGGGTGAAATCCAGCAAGTTCTGGAGAACCGGTAGCGAACATTTTGAGCAGTTCGGAGAACTGATAGCAGAAATTTTGAGTAGGTCAGAGAACCGGCAAATACTACCTCTGGCTGGCCCCAGAGTGGGGTTGGAATGGAGATTTTGCAATATCCTTCTCCCAGGAGTGGGGAGAGAATGGGGATTTTGCAGTATCCTTCCCCTGCCATGCCCACCAAGAAACACCATGCCCACCAAACCACGCCCACAGAACTGGTAGTAAAAAAAAATGGATTTCATCACTGTTCTAAGCACAGACATGGGTTCATTTAGCAACTGCTTCACTTAGTGACTAAGTTGCTGATCCCAATTGTATTTGCTAAATAAGTACTGTAATGAATATCAGTGTATTTTTTCTATCTTTTCTTGATCTTTTCAGCATCATTCAATGTGGATTTTTGATCATCTCAGCTTTCTAGTTCAATGCTTGAATTTTCTCTTTAATTCTAGTAGGTTTTGGAAAAGCAATTTAGTTCTTTTGCCAATATTTTCAGTTTCCTGTTTTCTTGCAAGTATTTTTGTAGTAATTTTGTCTCATCTTGTAGCATGTTGGAAATTTTGACTCAGTTATGCAATTGCCACTCTTGTTTCTCTGGTTTTTGTTTATATATGTTTCTGCACAATTTCAGGAATTTTTCCCAATCATCTATTTTGGCCATCTTTGCTTTTTTACCCTTTGCCAAAGTTTTCCATGTTCTTCAAGTTCATTTTTTAAATGTCTTCCCATAACTTTTCTGATATTTCCCAAAGGTGCTTTTTCAAAAGGCGACTTAAGAGTTTCTTGTTTTTTTTCCTTGAAGACATTTCACTTCTCATCCGAGAAGCTTCTTGAGTTCTTGGATGAGAAGTGAAATGTTTTCAAGGAAAAAAACTGAGAAAGTTCAGTTGCCTTTTAAAAAGCACATTTTGGACAATCATGACTTTAGGAGCCTAGTGGAGCAGTGGACTAAAGCGCTGTTAAATAGCACTTAGCTGCCAGCTGCCTGCAATTACTGCAAGTTCGAATCTCACCAGGCTCAAGGCTGACTCAGCCTTCCATCCTTCCGAGGTAGGTAAAATGAGGACCCGGATTGTGGGGGCAATAAGATGACTTTGTATAAAAAAGAACACCACTTAGGTGGGGCCCAAAAGCCCTACTAAGCAGGTATATACAAAAGTATGAAGGCTATTGCTTAATGCATTGTAAGCCGCCCTGAGTCTCCAGAGAAGGGCGGCATATAAATCAAACCAATAAATAAATAATAAATAAATGACTTGGATGACTGAGAATCTTGATAGGATTCCTTCTTATACTTGTTAGTATCCAATGCAGCAAATTTATAGAGTCTTTAAATTCTGTGGGTATATTTTAAAGATCATATTCATGATTGGTTTGTTCTAATGTAACTTTAGTCTGATTTGCATACTAATAGTTGATTATCTGTACCAGTCTGCTCCAGATTTGTCTTTGTGAATGTTATTGAGCTTTAATGTTATTGAGCTTTTCCATTGTTGACTTCCAGATGTAATCAATTTGATTTTAATACAGTACATTGGGCAAAGTCCATGTGTACAGTGAATGCTTATACAGCTGGAAGGTGTTAGAAATAAATGGTCTGTTAGTCTTGCAGCATTCAGTCAAATATTCTCCACTTTATTTCTATTCCTAAATTCTTTTTAATTCCCAATTTTTGTCCATAAATATTAGTATATTGTATTTGCATGTTCTTTCAGTTTCAGTTTATACTGTTCATAGAATCAACTTCATCTTCTTCTGCCTCTGATGTTGGCTTATATACCGGTAGCTGAATAAAAGCAATTGCAATGGGCATTTCTCAAAACCCAGCAGAAATGTGTAAGTGTTCATTGATTACATTACATTGCATTACAGCTCTTACAAACTTCTCCTTGGTTATGAATGCAGCTAGAAAAGATTCTTGGGAATACCCTGGACAGTGAAGAACACACATTGATGACTCATTGACAAATCAATTCAGAGTTCTCATTCAGGGCACAAATGACCAGGCTCCAATTATCCTACTTTGGACACATTATGCAAAGGCCCAGCTCTTTTAAACAATTCTAATGCTGGGAAAGGTGGAAGGAAAGGGAGTAAAATGATAAGCAGAAAGATGGATGGACTCAGATTTAGTGGTGGTCAAATACACCATTGGGAGACATGAAAGAACAGGTTAGAGATAGATTGTAATGGAGAAAAATCTATTTATGTAGTCACTAGGAGTCAAAAACAAGTTGATGGAACATGATCAATCAATCAAGAACAAGTGATTATCAGAATTGTGCCCAGTGACAATGCAATTTTGTTCAATAATGCCCAAGAAGTTAACTTGGGTGCATTCAATTTTATTCTTGGATCTTTCCAGTTTTACTTGGTTCATGCTTCACACACTCCATGTTGGACATCTTTACTGCTTCTGATCCTCATTTTCAACTATATCAGCATTCAGATAATAAAGACTTTTGCTTCAGCTAGAGCATATATGCCAGCTTTAATCTGACACATCCAAAACATTTAAGAGTTCCCAATCCAGGTATAACGAGCTGTAAAAGTAACCTTGAGAAACAGGAAGAAGAACTGCAACTGAGACAGTGGTCAGACAAAAGACATTTGACTCTGAGGTAGAATTGTAATTTGAGAAAGTATCTCAAACTTGACCCTCCCTAATTCTCTTGATGACAAAGGGAGAGGCATGGAAGCACATTCAGACTTGCAAGATTCTGTTACTGTAATCAAAGTAGTGCTAGCATTCCTAATTCTGATTTCTTAGTCTGTTCTACCAATAAGGGTTGACAGCAACTTTTGGGACAAACTATGTAGATGTGGAATACATGATATTATAGATTGTGTTTTCAACTTTCATCAATCTCCTTGTGATATTGAAAGATGACTCAAAGCACTGTTGCAAACATTCATCATTAATATGGCTATGGAAGGACCTGCCAGTTTGAACCTTTTACATTGTTTCATTAAAGGATCTGAGAATGGGAGAGATCAATAGGGATTTTAAAAAACCCACAAAACAGCTTAGGCATCCTTAAATTTGAAAAAAAAAACATATCTGCACTATTAACCATTCATAACTATATTTATCTCATAGCACTTTCAAAACAAGCATGATTTATTGCATCCTTTATTGAATCTGGACACAAGGAATTAGGGCCAGAAAGCCTATAAATGGCACAAAGGACTAAGCTTGTTCATATATTATTAAGGTCTTATTGTGTTGAAACAGGAGCTGGGCCAGATCATTCAGAGTCTTAATGAAAAAACAAACAAACAAACCAATGTACAACCATGCTGGCTGGAGAATTCTGGGAACTGAAGTCCACACATCTTAAAACTGCCAAATTTGAGAAATGCTGGTATAGTAATTAAAGGCACTACAACACTAGGAGTGGGAAACCCAAGTTCTAGTCCTGCCTTAATCAGGAAAGCGAATTGGGTGACTTTGGGCAATAGGCAATATCCAATCACTTCTAAAAAAGTTGCCAAGAAAACTGCCTGGACTTGTCAAGTACCTGATCAATCAATTAGAATAGCGCTGGAAGGAACTGTGCAGGTCTTCTAGTCCAATCCCTTGGCTCAAGCAGGAGACCCTATACCCGTGATGGCGAACCTATGGCACGGGTGCCACAGGTGGCACGTGGAGCCATATCGGTGGGCACGCAAGCTCAGCTTTGGCACGCATGTGTGCGCCAGCCAGCTGATTTTTGGGCCTTTGGGGCCCATCAGAAGTCAGGAAACACACTGTTTCTGGCTTCCAGAGGGCCTCTGGGGGTGGTAGGGAAGGCTATTTTCACCCTCCCCAGGCTTCTAGAAAGGCTTTGGAGCCTGGGGAGAGCGAAAAACAGACCCACCGTGCCATCATGTGCCGAAAGTGGGGGGAGCATGGGGGGTGGGGCACATAGAATTATGGATGTGAGCATGCGTGCGTGTGACCCCACTGTGCTCCCCCCCCCCGCTTTTGGCACCCGATGGCAAAAAGGTTAGCCATCACTGCCCTATACCATTTCAGAGGAGTGGCTATCCAGTCTCTTCTTAAAAGCCTCCAGTGATGAAGCACCTGAAGGCAAGCCCTTCCACTGGTCAATTGTTCTCACTGTTAGTTAATTTCTCCTTAATTCCAGGCTGCTCCTCCCTTATTCTGGCTAAATCCACCCGAGTTAGGATTGATCCCGAAGAGAAGAGCCCTAATAGTAACATGCAACAGAAAAAGGGAACCCGTAGCTTCATTCCTTTCAGTCGAGAGGAAATTCTGACCTTTCACATCACCTCCCCCCACCTCCTCCTCCCCGCGAGAATAGGAGGGGTTCCCTTCCCCTCGCCGCCTGCTTTTCCACCGCTGGCAGCCATCCTAGTGCGCGCTCGCTCCCTAACCCCGGGATCGCGTTTCGTCTGGTCAATGGTGGAGGGCGGTCTCTGGTCCCGGCAAGCGCCCGCCTGTTTTGCTCCGATGCTTGCTAAACTGCCGCTCTTCATTGGGTATGCCTCTCCCGTCTCCCTATAAAGCCTGCCTGCCTGCCTGCTTGGATCCGCGGTTCATTCTGGGGCTCTTTCCACCCGCCCTCGCCAGCGGACCGGATCGTGCGGTTTTGGCCTTAGCATCCTTCCCTTCTTTTCCAGGTAATCCGGGCTGGAGAAGACTGGAGGAGGAGGAGGAGGAGGAGGAGGAGGAGTGGCGGGTTTTTCTCCCGTTTCAGCGGCTCGAGAATCCGGGGGGAGCCGGAGCGGGGATGGCGCTGCCGCTCACGGATGTGAACGCTGCTTTGAAGTTACGAAGAAAAGGGGGTGCGACGGCGGTGGTGGGCGAGAGGGGGGGGAACGCCGACCGCGTGGCCGCCCGCGCTTGGAAAAAATGATCAGTGTGTGCTTAGGGGGGAAGGGGGGGGCGCGTTTCCTTTCAAGGTTGCAAGCGAAGCTCTCCTTTCTGAGGAGACTCGACCCGGATTCGTTTGCGACTTGCTGATAGGCGCGCCTGTGAATTGCGACCGAAAGTCTCTCAGGCGAGGCTGGAGGGGACGGGCAGCTTTCACCTTAACCGCTTCCCGTCGTCGCGGCTGGGGCTACGTGGGGAATGTGGTCACCTCTGAAACGTGGGTGGCAGCTCGGACTACGCCTGCTGTTGGGGGCAGGGAAAAGGGAGGGGGGGGGAGAATCGGTCGAGATGCCTGCGGGGGACCCTTGTTTCGCTTCAACTCCGCCTCCGGAGCTCCCGCTCTACCTCCCGCCGCTTCGCCGGGAAAATAAAGGCGCCAAATTCCATCTGGGAAAGGATGGATAAAGGCTACGATCTCTGTCCTGACCTGACTAGGATCCTGCTTACCAGTACTTCGCCGTAGAAAGATCCCCGGCAAGAAACCCATCTCCGTGGCTCCTTAGATTGGAGTAGCTGAGCGCGCCTCGCCGCACATTTCTGGATCTGCCCCTCTTTGGCCAAAGGATCTGCCCCTCTTTGGCCTTTGCTCGGACTGGAGTCACACTCCTTCCGCGCACGAACGGGCTCGGAAAGAATGGGGAGAATCCACAGAAATGCTGCTCCTTTCTCTTTGACTGAAAAAGAGAACCTCTGTGGGGAAACAGCAAAGAGCTAGATCTTAATTGGCAGCATTGTTGTGGTGCTCCATCACTGCAGGTTTTCAAGGAGAGAGTGGATTGGTTCGAAATGGTATAGGCCAGGCTCTCCTGCTTGAACAAAGGGTTGGACTAGAAGACCTTCAAGGTCCCTTCCGACCCTTTTATTCTACATTCTAAATAAATGTTGCGGTTTGTTTGGTCTTTGGCCACACACGAAGGCTCTACCCTCCATGTCAGGGCTTCCCAGACAGGGTACTAAATTAGAGCAGGGGCTTTCCAACCATATCCCAGCCGCCCAAACCTGTTAGTTCAAAACAAAACAAAATTCCAAGACCCCCTATTTGAGAGGCAAAGCCCTATCTGTAGTAATGAAAAAATTGGAATGAAATACAGTGTGCACGCTTATTGTAATTTATTAATGCAGATATTAAAACTTATTTGAATTTCACAAAAATAGATTCCTCAATTGCAACACCGGAATATGCTTGGATTTTTTTCTGTTTTCACCAGTTTCTGCACTGTTTGTCTATACTAACTACCCATATGTGGAAAAATATTCAAATTACATAAATACTTGCTAGGCGAAGTAAAAAAAAAAAAGAGAATAGACAATGTAAATTTTCTGGGGATATAACTCTATGGGGGGAGGGTTATAATAGTTTAATATGGTGAGACTGAACAATTATCCAGGAAAATCACCATTTGGGATGTCTCTTAGAACAGTGGTCCCCAACTTTTCCGGCTTGGCGGCCCTGGAAGGGGAGAGGGGATGGTTCCATGTAAGCAGTAGGCACGTGTGCACCCAGCTCCATTTGTGCGTGCAGTGGGCATGTGAGCCTGCCACTAACACGAATGGAACTTCGCATGTGAGTGCAAGCACCCACTGCTTGCATAGTTCATCGCTTACACGGTTCAGTTCTGAACAGGGTTCTGAGGGTTTGGAACCCCTATCTTAGAATGAATTACTGAGGAATGCTGATGATCTAATGTAGATAAAAATGACACAGTACAATAATTGCAGGAAAAAAGTAACGGATTAAGATGGTGAAGTTAAATTTGACTTTTTTTCCCATTGTGCATGCCAGGCAGAAGCCACTTAAGCAACTCTTTACCTCCTGCTTGCTTAGTTTTGCAAATGCAATGCTAACACGTGTTTACTCTGGAGAAAGTGTCATTCCAAAGGGATTTGAGGCACACATGATTTTCAGCCAAGCTATGAAATCCTAAAGTTCTTTCTTTTAATTCCAATACAGTTTATCCTTAAATAGATATGCAATGGATGTTGCCTTGACACAAACATACATACAGGCAGTCCTCAACCTACAACAGATCATTTAGTGATCATTAGAAGTTACAACGGCACTGAAAAAAGGGACTTATTTCACACTTAAGACCGTTGTAGCATCCCCATGGTCATGTGATTTATATTCGGATGCTCGACAACTGACTCACATTTATAACAGTTGCATTGTCCCGGAGTCATATGATCCCCTTTTGTGACCTTCTGACAAGCAAAGTCAATGGAGAAATCAGATTCACTTAAGAACTGTGTTACTAATTTAACAACTGCAGTGATTCATTTAACGAATATGACGAGAAAAGTAACAAAATGGGGCAAAACTCACTTAACATGTTTCTCACTTAACAACATAAATTTTGGGCTCAATTGTGGTCTTAACTTGAGGACTACCTGTACACACAAACATTAGTCTGTAATATAAAAGAGATACGTTTCCAGGAATGTGCAGCACTTTGGTTTTGATCTTTTAAAATCGTTCTGCCTCTCTTTGCTGCATGTTAGGACACAGCAATAATCACAAGGGGAAAGGCATTTTTGGCATTGAAGAGGGAGGGTCCGCTCGCCCTTCAAGGTAGTCCAAACAAGAAGCACAACCAGGAATACTATACTACCTTTATCTTTATTGTAAGGTTACACTAACACGATCTTGCAAGCCTGTATTTCTCTCCCCCCTTTCTCTTTATTCTTGAGAAGACTAGAGAGGGTCCCTGCTCAAACATTCTGGCTCAGCTTCTGTGGACAGAGGTATCTTTTGCGTGACCGTTGGCTAGACTGTCTCTTCCTCCCACCCCTCCAAGGTCATCCCCACATACCATTATAGGGACTCACCGGCTATCACTTTTGTGCTGAAGTCTAAGTTAGAAACTCCCCCAATGGATTTCCAACTTCACTCTGGTTTCAGTTGCCCTTTATGCTGTTCAAAGTTTGAGGGCAGGCTGGATGTCAAGTTATGGGTGTGTGCTTGTGAAGGGACAGCAGTCGGAGCTGGGGGAGGTCAGCAGGGAGTGGAGGACCGAGTCTGTCATTCAAGGTGTTAACCCCCCCCCCAGTTCCTTACAGAACCCATTCAAGGGAACCCGGTTTGAAAAAAAAAAACCAAACCCAAATTGGAGTATCAGAGCATATGGACAGCAGGCATAACTATGATAGGAACCTTTGTTGAAGTCACTCCACGGCTTACAAATTCATGAATTTGGGAAAGGATTTATTTCTGTTCTGAGTGTTACCTAACAATTGCCAAAGACAGGTAGTCCTTGCTTAATGGCCGGTCTTTTAGCGACCATTCAAAGTTACAAGAGCTACTTATGACAAATTTTCAAAGTTCCACTGGCTTCACTCACAATCCTGCAGCCATGTGACCATATTTGGAAACTGACTGTCATTTAGAGCCATTTGCAGCATCCCATGGTCGCATGATCACAATTTCCTGTGGTTGTGGGTTTTTTTGGAGGGGGATTCCATTTCCAGCATTTACTTCAGGTTTCCAGCAAAAACACCCATTGGCGAGAACAGGTTGGCTTAATGACTGCTCTGTTCACATAACAACTGCAGCAAAAATGTTCATAAGGTTGGGCACAGTCAGACCCACTTAATGACCGCCATGATTTACAACTGTAATCCTGGGCTCAATTATGGTCGCATGTTGAGGACTATCTGTAGAACAAACAGGACTTTAAAATCTCTTCATTTCTGTGTAGACCTTACAAGCAGGCTCTTGTCAACAGGCATTAGGATGAGCATTGGGGAACACGGCTGGAAAGAATGTGCCTCTAGGGCTGGACCAGCTGGAGAATTCCAAGGCTGGAAAGAGAAGGGAGCATCTGGGAATATGGGTGCCTCTCCGCTGGCCAGATAGCCTGCTTTAATCCCAACAGTGCCATAAGAGAAATAAGAACAAATAAAACTCTTTAGGAAAAAAAAGAAAAAAATTGAGCAGGTGACCTCTTAACTAATATAAAGTATGTTATAAATATTAAAAGTTGCTGGGTTACTCAACCAAAATCCAGCTTTAATTATCTCAGATTTCATGCTTATAAACTCTGATCATTATGAAAAAAATAATTTTTAAAAAAGTTACCGGTAAGCTAAAGATTTCAACAATAGCACTCCTGGTTGAAAGTTTCATGAAGCTGGGATCTAGGAACAGAAACTAGAAAGTTGTGTGCGCCAAATGCAGGGAACACTTTTGTTAGAAGTGCTACTAAAGTGTGAATACTTTGTTTGATTAGATCAAAAAATAAGGACTTTAAATTGACTTCTATGCCCTTTCCAGGTTCCATCTTAGGATAAATGACAGTGCAGCTAGAAGGATCAAAGAATCAAGAGAACTGCCAGTGGATCGATGCTGAGCTCTTGAGCTACAATTGGCTGACTAGATTTGTCCTCACTCTATCCAAGGAGGTAAAAAAAAGAATGTGCTGTTCCACCATACTTTTGCTTGCTGTAATGGCAGCCTCTCTCCAGGTCAAGTCCCCCTCTAACCAGAGGTGATTTTATAGCAGTAAAAAGGCTCTTGGTGACATTATTTCAAAATCCATTTTTCCAGATATTTAATTATGGAAAATGGAACTATTTAATTTAGTTCCAAACAGATATATGGAACAAAAAAAATGGATGAAAAGATAAAGTTAAGCATTCCAGGCTAAAAGAAAGTGCAGTGGTTTGGGGTGGGAGCGCTTTTTCTTGCATGCTGGTTCAGCTGTACTTTGTCCTCACAAAGGAAAGGAGGCTATCAGAACAGATTAGACTGGGATTCAGATATTTTATTCTGGGACAGAAGTGAGAGCCACTCCTACAATTCATATCACAAATAGACACACCCAAGCTTTATTTAAATGATTGTGGTGCCCCTGTGTCCAAATTACGTACATGTGGCTACTTTAATTTTAATCATCAACGTGGTTATTACAAGTAGTCCTTGTGTTATGACAGCAATTGGGACCTCTAAGCCAATGTCACTAAGTGATGCAGTCATAAAGCATGACATCACATGACCACATTATTTAGAAAGAAAAATCTCAGCAGTCTCAATTGCTATTGTAATCCTGGACCATTCATTAAGTGAAAACCTCCCAATCTCTGTGAGGGAGGAAACAGATCAGGCACAGAAGAGATTGTCAATAGGAATCACTTGTTTCTTCCTCTTTGCAGAGCAGAGGAATTGGAGAGGAAGGGATTACAAGAGAATAAACAGGCACAGATTACAAGAGAATGGAGAATACACTGGGCTATTTGCATAGCTTGCTCACAGTGCTAGCCCTGAGTGCCAGTGCACTGCTTTCAAGGTATATTCCTAATTGTGTGCCTGCTTATTCTCTTGAAACCTCTTCCTCTCCAATGAATGTAAATACAAACATTAATTCCCTTCTTGCTAATTATCCCAGCACCAAAGAGAGCATTTCAAAGGACTGGAGGAGTGGGGAAAAGGAAAACATAGTCATGGTCAAATAACTTCTCACTTAGTGGCTACTTTCTTAATGACAAAGCTGCCAGTCCCAATTGTGGTCACAAAACGAGGATTATCTGTATAACCAAATATTAGATTGACGGGATAGTTACTATTAAACTGAAATATGTCAGCTTTCTAGTGGTTATTTAAATAAACTCAGTGAACTGACATTTGGAAGCTCATGTGTCTTAATGAGCCTAATCTCTAGCAGTTGAACTATTCTATTTCTTAGTTTCCTAAACAGAAAATGTAGGATGCACAGGCTGCTAGGATACACAGGCTGCTATTCAATTATTGATTAAAATGTATTGGATGCATTACCTCAGTGTAGATGCTAGGGGTATACATTACCAATTGAAAAGAGTAAGAGGATTTTGTTTGTCCCATGGAAAGCTCTGGAGAGACTAGTATGATATAATATTGCAGAATGGCATATTGCTAGAACGGGAGAAGATGGCAGGTAAAAATGGAGTTGAAGTCTGCAATCCTGTTTATAGTAATTAATTCCAGATTTTGAAATTGGGTAAATGGATTGCGTTTTGTAAACACAAGATTTTATGTTGTGAATTTCATTGGGGATACGCAGTTGGAAGTTTGGAGCAGTTAAAGAGAACTGAATTTTTTAACGCAAAGAAAGGAATATTGGAATTTACAAAACATTCATGCACAACAGTATATAGAAATACGTGCTCTGGGGAGCTATCAGATTCTTGCCACATAAAGCAGCACATTTCCTTTACTAGTGGGGTCCTACTCGGACCTTCTCAATAACTGCTGACAGCTTTGTTGCACCGAAAGCTGCACTTTGGGATGGTCATAATCACAGCATTTCCCAGCTTCTCTATTTGGAAGCATGAAAGAAGATACAAGTAGATACAAATCTTCAGACAAAAGACATACAATTTCTTGATGCTTGTGGGGAAAAAAAACAAGATTAATACCGTCTCTAGCATTTCGATTTGCAAAAGGCTACAAGAATTCAAAATGCTACAAGACCGATGCTTACATCATGGGTAGCAATAACTTTACCATATAACTTTTAAATGTTTTGGAGTTCCAGGTACTTCAGTATTGACATTTTGTTATACTATTGTTACTATAAATTGGTACATCTTTCCATCAATCCCTTTCAGCTCAGTAGAACTATTAATCTGGTGAGGCCAGTAGCCCCACTGATTCAGTCAATAAGAGCCTTGTATGAATCTTCAGAGCTTGCCAAAGAGACTGAGAGTATGCGGAATTATCTAAGTTTAATTCTAACATTTGCTTTGTTTTATTATTCATTTTCTTTTTAATACATTGTGCTGTTTTGATACAATGATATTTATACAATATTGATTGAAAATTATTGACGCTTTATTGTTTAGATAACGTAGACTATTGGAAATAAAGAAAGGAAGAGAAGTATTTTATCAATATTCATTACAATTTAGGATATCAATATTATAAGCCAAAGTTTATTTGATTTTTTTTTCCCATCCAGAACTGAATATACCATCAGGAGAATGTATGCGTGTCTATGTCTATGTGTAAAGCATGCCAACAAAAGGACTTATTTAAGCAAAGCAAAATTAACAAGCCTTAAAATGCCAAAAAATAAAAGAAAGAAAAAAAAGGGGGGGGAATGGGGTTTGGAGTTTCTAACTTCTCTCTATTTATACATCTGCTAATTTACATTATAGAAATGTAGGCCCTCTCAGAAGCCAGACTGTAAGTGATGCTCCATGATGTACTGTATATATGAGAACATTCTTGCTTAAATTATTCAGCATTCTTGCTTAAGTCTTCATATTGTTGGAATTGTATCTTCTTTCCAGTGTTGGGTAAAATTCATTCTTGTTGGTTTCTCTTCAGATCATATAAATCTTTCACCTTTTACTCTGATTTATTCTTATAGAATGACTTCAATCTGTGAATTCCCAGGTGTAGCAAAACATCTCTGTCTGAATACACAAAGCAGGTTATTCATCTGCCACTAAAAAGCCAAGCTAGCACAGAGTTCAAGGCACACATATATTGGATTTTTTTCTAAGTATTTTGAGCCATCTTTCCGTATGTAAGGAGAGTAGATATATACTTCCCCAATGCAATATTATTGCAATCCATATCAAATCAGGTTTTTTCCCTACTTGGTCTCATCATTTTTGCTTTTTTTGTAATATTTTGTTGATGAAGACATCTGAAAATCCTCAAACTTTGCATTGTTTTTGGGGGGCTTGGATAGATGGAGCTTTAAATCTCTTTAATAATGATCATGAATGTTGCACAATTTAATTTCTGCCTGTGCTTGTAGGCTACTATTTTAAACACCACAATAAGGACCAAGTAGCACTAAGTGTGATGGAATTTACTGCCTGGTTCTGTGAGAATTTCAAATGCTGCTGTGATATCTTCGTAAGAAGGCAAGGAAAATATGGATGTAGCCAATTTTAAATTGAAAATGCTATCTCCAATATTTGTCCTTTGTTGTTCATACACATGGCAAACCCTTTTCCACAAGATCTATTTCAGCCTGTCAGATCTATTTCAGCCTGTAAATGAGAGAGGTGGAAAATGAGCAACAGAATGAATGCGACATAATAGCAATTGTTTCAAAGAAGCATAAGATCAAACACGTCATTGTTTTCAAAACGGAATAATTTGGCATGATTTCAAGATAACAGAAGAAAAATCGGTTATTTATATTTTCTGGGTACCTCACTCCAAATGATTCTGAACAGCTAAAATACAGTAAAAGAAAGACAGATCATAAGCATACAGAGGACAAAATAACTAAGCATCCTCAGGGGTCCAACCACCAAAGCCTATGAGAACAACCAGGTTTTCACTGAAACTCACTGAACAACATTATGGGCAGCTATAGAAATTAAATCAATCAATCAATCAATGTCAGAGTCTTATGGCTCTCGGGTAAATGTTGTTCCAAAGAGTAGCCATGACAGAAGCACAGAAAACCCCAGAAAGCCAGATATGCTCTTATTCAAGAGTTTGATGATGGCAACTGTTCTGCCTAAGAAGCTTCAATGTCCCTTAAATTTAATTGTGTAAGGTTATGGAACAACATCCTCATCATTTTAAAGAGATTTGTTTCTGGATTTAGGGATGGGCTAAATATTTGCATCACAGGAAGTATAAAGAAACATAATTTATTTCTTTTTTCCTTTGCAGTATCTTCACCTTGAACAATGGTAAGTTGTTTTCATCGCATCTCTTCTTTTTCTGCCATTCCTGGCTTGTGTGTGTGTTGCTATTTCATGCATGCGCGCACACAGAGACATATATTCTTAAAGACAGTATGTGTGCATATTTTTAAGAATCCCCAATATCCCATTTGAGATTATTTCTAGAGGGGATAGGAAAGTGAAATGAAGATCTGTTAACAAGTAGAAAATGATTTCTAATGGGTGGTGTCTGGTATCACCTTCCTTTTTTGCACTGAAGATCTTTCTCATCTTGAGTCTTTTATGGACCAGCAGCTGAGACAGGGGAAAGCTCTCAAAATAAGTGTCCCTCTGTTCTTTGGATGGAATCTAAAGTGCATCTCTTTGCCTTTTCCTTGGCATATTTCTCAATACTTTGACTGCAGTTGTCTCTGGACCAGATCCACACTGAACCACCCCAAACACCCAAGGAATTGGATTGGGCAGAACAGAGCTTTCTTCCACCACTGAGTCCGCTACGCAGCTCCCGGCACCGAGATACACTCCTGGATAGCAAAATTAGCCCTGAGGATGCACAGGCCAGGGCCTGGACAGCCTATTACTATGACTTGTTGCAGTGCAGCTTACAGCAGCAAGGGCTCCCAGAAACCACTGATCACACCAAGGAGCCCCGATCAGGTGGGTGTCACATTGTATTGGTCACATGTAGGATACATTTTAACTATGATTGATTGAACAATTATATATCCTGTCACCAGAGGTGGGCTCCACATAATTTAACAACCGGTTCACCCCAGCACTGAAAATGTGAGTGCGCATGTGCCTTCCGCCCATGCGCATGATCTTCTGTGCATGCGCTTTGCTCACACGCACTCTTGTACGCATGCGCGCAAGAAAAAAAAAGTGCAGCTAAATAGGACGGTATAGCACCAGGGCGGGCCCTCCTGCAGGTCACAACTACCAGTTCACACGAACCGGTACGAACCGGCTGAATCCCAGCCTTGCCTGTCACCTGATTTGCACATATGTTTAAATCATAATGGCTTATCCTTATATTTGGAATCGGGATGTAAAATACAAAGCTAAAAAAGATAAAAAAAAACCTCCTTGAATGAAGCTGATGACTCATTAAGGTATTCATGTAGCTTTCTGGACAATGATAGAAAAGAAAATCATTTACCTGTCTAGTCTATAAAATTGCTTGATGATCCTCTGTCCAACTACTAACCCAGTCCAACGTGTTTAGCTTCTTCTTTTTTTTTAAGTTCAGCTCTGATGGGTTAGGTCCTGCCACCTACTGAAGAAAGATACAGAGCTTTTGTGCCTGAAAGCTGATGGAATAAATAGAATCAAAGGAAATATATAGGATAATCTGTCATCTCATGATAGAGTAATCCTTATATTTGAGCACTTCATCTGCCTCTATCATCATCTTCTTCTTTTAACGACCCCATAATCCCTTGCCGGGTGGAGTCTGGACATCGAATGGAGCTAGCAGAGTGTTTACTGGCCGGATGTCCTTCCTGTCACCAATGCAGAGTTTTGTTGAGCAGATTTATTCTCATTGTGTCCAGAGAGAGAAATATCTGCCTCTACCTAGGATCAAACTCACAGCCTCCTGATTGTGAGGCTAGAGCTCCAACCCTAGGCCACCATACCACACCACTCCACTTCATCTATACCTGTAAAAAAGACTTTTCCAGAGATTCTGCCTAGGAGATGACCAGAATGCAAAGAAAGAAAGAAAAAACCCTGAGGTTTCGAGGTTAATGGACTACTGATTTTGTTCATGTCTTATTTAGGATTTGGACCCTCAGATATAACCATCTGTGTCTTGGGTTGCCCTGCTTCATATCTGTCAGTGCTTCTGGAAGGTGGCAACCAGTGTCCTGGTAAGTTCTTAGATTAGGTATTTTGCTTGACCTTAGCCTATTCTTAACGTTTGCTCAGAAGTGCTGAACTGAACTGACCTTATGCTCTTCCACTTGATAAATTATAATAAATGTGAAAGCTCATTACCATCAATTAATTTTCAAAATTTTGTTTCACCCCAAACATACTGTCAGAAATGAGCCATGTTCAGTGCTCTTCAAGCTAGTGCCTTCCCATATGCCAGAAGTGCCAGAAGATATATGCCACTTCCTTGCCAAGGATGCCTTTGAAAATCAGCTGTGATCTTCTAAGGTGATAAACACTAGCATCTTCTTTATCATATGATAATTCCAATTCTGAAGATGCTAATCATTTTTTTCTTTTTCTGTTCAATCATGTCAGATCCTTGGAGACTGCCTGAAAAGTGGAAGAGTTTTTGAACATCAGTGACAATTAAACTAGATATTGGAGATACTATTTGTGAATCCTCTCTGTCTTAATTTCTGGTTCCTGGTTAGGTCATTTTACTGTTTCTTTGTTTCAGGAGAGGAGGCTAAACCAGAGTTGGTTACCATTTTGAATGTTTAAGGAATTCAAAGTTGTATATTGTCACTTAAACTGGAACAGTTTTTGGTGTTCCAATTTTGAGAGTTAAATCTGTTTTGTAAGGAAGGCCAAGGCATCTGAGTGATTCCCAGCTGCACGGATAACACGAAGAACCAGCTCTTTCTTCTCCCTCCACTTGCCCTTCAACACTTTTTTTGCTTTCCAGGCAAAGAGAGATGAGCTGGTAACTCACAAGCCATTTTTTGCTTGTTCGTTTTTTCTGTTGCCTTATCCCAACATCCTTTCAAAAACAAACAAGCACATCCTTTCCAACAAATAAAATGCAAAAATGAAACAAGCAGACACAAAGTAGGAAGCTATCTATGCAAAGACCTATCTGTACACCTTTAATTATAAATGTGTTGCTTGTACCTTTGGGGAATTAATGTTAGCAGCTTAAAAAATTGCATGTTTAGCTTTCAGAATGCCTTCTGCATACTGCAATAAGGGCTGGATATTCCATTATTAAGTCAGGGCTTGTGGTACTCTCCTCCTAAGTATAGGAGGACATTTTCCTATAATGTTTTTCCTTTCATAAACCTTGAAAGACTGTCACCCAAACAGCGAACAACCCATTGTAATAGAATGATTGGCTAATGCATAATAATAATAAAAACAATAATTTAAAAAAACCATATAATGATGATGTGCTAATGATATCCTGAGAGATTATTCTATTTTCCTTGTTCAGTCTCACTAGGTTCAGTGGTGTCATGTGGGAAATATGTCAGGATAGCACCTAACAGAAACAGGAAGGCAATTTGCTGGTTCCAGAGACATTGTGAGAGCCAGTAATCAGGGTGCTGGTGGTACAGAATACATTTTTCACTGTTTTGAATGGCCTGGGAACTGGCAAATTGCCTTGCTGTTTTCTGTTCTGTTACAGGTTATTATGATGCAAATGTGGTATAGGCAATTTTGGGTTCATTTAAGTTTTCACAACATCCTTACTTTCTCAGATATATCCACAGGCTGGATTTCCCGTCTTCTCTTTCCCTAGGTAACATGCTGCTGTGCTTGTCACCAGCCTGGCTCTCCAAAGTTCCCTCAGAAACTCATCCTGGTGAGTCATCTTTATACGTACTGAAGGCTGTGACATTTGAGCTTGGCGGCCGCACAGTGCTGGAAGAATTTTCTTCCCCACGTCGAGTCAGCTACTTCACAGGGAGCTTTGGGCCCTGCAAGCTGCAGGGCCAGTCAGCGGCAGAATTGGCCCGAGATCTTGATTGCCCCACCGGAAGTTCGGGAGAGTTGACTCGCCTGCTAGAGGACAAGTTGCTGACCCGGCAGCTGATAGATCAGAAGGGAGAAGTAGCTGTGCCACCCACCCTGGCCTTCACCTTCAAGCGCCCAATGCTCCTGCGCAATGTGACAGAAGAGCAGCGCATCCACGTGGTTGAACTGAGTGGCCGGGAAGGACAAGACAACCTTCTGCAGGAAGAAATTACAGCCTTCTTGCAAGGTGGTGCAATGGAGTCTTACAAACAGGTAAGAGGTCCCAAACTCAACTGAACTGAGGGGCTTCCACAAAGAAGAGGGGGTCAACCTATTTTCCAAAACACCAAAAGGCAAGACAAGGAGCAATGGATAGAAACTAGCCAAGGAGAGAGCCAACCTAGAACTAAAGATAAATTTCTTGACAGTGAGAACAATTCACCAGTGGAACAGCTTGCCTTCAGAAGTTATGGGTGCTCCATCACTGGAGGCTTTTAGGAAGAGATTGGGCAGTCATTTTTCTGAAATGGTATAGGATCTCCCACTTGAACAGCGGGTTGGACTAGAAGACCTCCAAGGTCCCTTCCAACTCTGTTATTCTGTTCTGTTATTAGAAAGCAAGACAGATAGGAGGTGAAGATAAGGGCATTATAGAGCAAGAGAACTGCAGTTCTTTCCATTCAGATGAGAAGTTAGGATGAGTGTTGGAAATAGAATACAGAGTTTTGGGGAAAGAGCTGGACATTTAAGCCTTGCTGCCACAGGTATTGTACTTCCACAGGTGGTGGTGAAGCCCTCAGGCTGGCGCTGCAATGGAGCCCAAGCTGTATCGTTTCATGACAAGTCAGAACATGGAAGCGTTCTGCAGGTGGTCCTTACCTTACTGGAGACTCTAGAGGAAGACGAGAGCATTTTGCTGGAGCCTTTCATTCCTACTGCTCACATCATCCAATCTGGGCCTTTAGTTACAAACAACTCCTCAGGTAAGGAATAGCTATTGATTACTTCCCCTTATGTCACAAAGCTAATTATCCTCCAGCTCAGTGCCTGTAACGTACAGGTAGTCCTTGACTTACAACAGTTCACTTAGTGGCCGTTCGAAGTTACAACAGCACTGAAAAAAGTGACATGACCATTTTTCACAGTTATGATCATTGAAGCATCCCCATGGCCACATGGTTTACATTCAGCTACTTGACAACTGAGTCACACTTATGACGATTGTAGTTTCCCGGGGTCATGTGACCATCTTTCGCCACATTCTGACAAAGGCAGTGGTAAAGCCAGATTCATTTAACAACCGTGTTACTAATTTAACAAGGGCAGTGATTCACTTGTGGCTAGAAAATTCATAAAATGGGGCAAAACTCACTTAACAAATTTCTCACTTAGCAACATAAGATTTGAGCTCCAGTTGAGGTCACACAACTTGATCACAACAGATTTGTGGCCATAGGTTGAGGACTACCTGTATAGTTTAATCTACCCTTCTACCTCCTATATATATGCTGGAATATAACTCCCAAACTACCTATAACCGTGATGGCGAACCTATGGCATGCGTGCCACAGGTGGCACGTGGAGCCATATCTGTGGGCACGTGAGCGTTGCCCTATCTCAGCTCCAGCGAACATGCGCCTGCCAGCCAGCTGATTTTCGGGCCTTCTGGGCCCACCGGAAGTTGGGAAATGGGCCATTTCCAACCTCTGGAGGGTCTCCCGTGGGGAGGAGGCCATTTTCACCCTCCCCAGGCTCCTAGAAAGGCTCTGGAGCCTGGGGAGGGTGAAAAATGGGCCTTCTGGTCCCACTGTGCCATCACATGCCAATAGTGGGGGGAGCGTGGGGGTCATACGCACATGCACAGAGGGGCGGGGCACATTGAATTATGAGTGTGGGCATGCGCGCACGTGACACCCCCCCTGCACTCCCCCCGCTTTTGGCACGTGATGGCAAAAAAGTATAACAACAACTGGGAATTCTAGGATTTGTAAGTCCTTCGTATCCAGGGTGGATTTGATTTAAATCAACTTGATTTAAATCACAATTTTTAAAGAGCAACTGTCATCTCTGTCCCGTAGCGGCTCCTCCTCTGACCCTCTGTTGACTCACCGACAGTCCCTTCACTTTAATGGGACGGCTGGTGATGCGGCAGTGACACAACAAGGTGAGGGATATGGCGGGTAGCAGGTGAATGGATGCCCGCTAACAGGCGCTGCCATGATGGATCTGAAATGACAGGTGCTCTTTAAATGTAAGGACTCATTCTTGCTGGTAGTTAGGATCTTTAATATTATTATTTGCAAACAAAATGAAGGTTTCCTATTTAGCTTGCAGAGCTTGGATTCATTGAATGAGTTTACCAAAAATGTAAATATTGCAGAATATACAGCCTCATGCTACATAACTAAGCTCCATTTCATGCTGAATAAACTAAATTATTAATGTATTTTAAATAGAAAACTATCTTTAGATAGATTTTCACTCCAAAAGCATTTTATTAAAATAAGTTTGATAAAAATAAAAAAAAATCTGATTTAAATTTTAAAAAATCTGATTTAAATAAAAAAAAAGATTGCTTTGATTTTTTTTTAAAAAAATCATCAATTTTTATCCACCCTGTTCGTATCCAAAGGTACCAGCACAATGAAGATTCAGTTATTCCATAAACAATTGTTTCTTCTACTTGCTTTGCTTCATTTTGTTAGCATCTCTTGCATGTACCAGGGCTTGAGCATTTTGGAAGAGAGGCTTTGTGATGATGATTTATGGTGTGGTAGGACCTGCACAACTCATAGTACTAGTAGTGATTGTAAGGATAATATATTCAGATCCACAATTCTCCAAAATTATTTGACTGATAGTACTCCAGAGTAATATAAGCTTTTCATCAAACCTGTCTTGTCCTCTTCATTTTCCTCCATATATTAATAATATATTTATATATTATATATTAAACCTTTATTGTCACTACACAACATATGTACCATGAGATTGGTTGAGCTCCCTCAGTGCACCCCCCCCAACACAATACAACTCAAAGTGAAGACAGAAACCCAATAAATCATATAACAAAAACCCAGTCCTATTGCACAAGTGTGAACATGTTACACGTTGCGCCAGCCCTGCAAATTCATCATACTATGTAGTTATGATGTTATTTTGCATTCAGGAGTCTGTCAGACTACGGATAAAAACTGTTCTTCAGCCTGTTTGTGCAGCTGGCTATGCTTCTATATCTCCTTCCTGATGGTAGGAGGGTAAAGAAGTGCTGACCAGGGTGTGAGTCGTCCCTGAGGATTTTTCTCATTCTTCTAATTCAACTATATATGAACTTGAATATTCAGCTCCTATGAACTTGTCTTTATGATTGCTTCCATTTCTCTTTCCTATTTTTCTTTCTGCTCTACATCTCCAGTTCCAGGCAACATATCTCTGCAGCGCAACCTGGCAATCCGAATTTGTGCTATTGTATGTAGGTCCCGAAAAGACCAGCCTCTGCTAAGCAAGGTAAAGGGAACCCAACTGAAATTAAAAGAAAACCAAGAATGTATCATTGGTAAAAAAAGGCATACAGACCACAGAAGAGCCATATGCAAGAGATGATTAGCATATTCACACCAATTTTGGTGTCCCACTTCGTATTTTTCTTCGGAACAGTGTAAAAATAATTGAGCTTACAATTATTGGTGCTTAAAAATACAGTAAACCTTTCACGCCAAAATAATGTCTCATTTAGAAATAAGCTAAGTTCCATAATCAGTCATTAGAGTGGCAATTTTTACCCTCCTGCTGGGCAGGAAATACTCTAATATCTCAAAATAAATAAATAAATAAAACCTGGAGATCTTTCTATATTGTATAGCTGTAGCCATAATCCAATACAGTGGACACAACCCTTAGGACTCTTTGAATGGAGATGTTAAGACAGATTGTTCACAATAGTTCAAAAAGATCTTAAACCTTTTGGTTCTTTTTCAGGTAATATGTGGTGTAGGTCCAGCAAATAAGCCACTGAAACACCAGACCACAGTGCCTCAGAGTCTGGAAAGCAGCCTACAGCACTGGGGACTAAAGGATGAGATCCAAATTGCTGCAATCCACGCCCAAATTAAGAAAAAAGCAGAAGATGCCATGAAAACCTTCATGGATATGGAGACAAGTCTATCAGTTGAGCAGAAAGGTGGTCGCCGAGCACAAACTGACATTATTGGTAAGCTTGTCGCATCAGTCATTATATCTTATTGTTTGTAAGATATTGTGGGGTTTGATTGCACAATGAAACTGGGGTTGTCAGAGCAGCTGAACTACAGTTTTAGCAAAGCGTGGGGCAGTGGTGTGAAGTGGCTTTACTGATTATAGTAACAGGACCAAATAGCATCCCACAGCATTAGAGAAATTCCTTTCCAGGTTCTCTGTTCTAGAAATAGGCTTGCACAATGTCTATTTTTATGTTTAGGTTAGCAGCTGCTTGCCTGACAGTAAGACTAAAAGCATGATAGTCTCTAATAAAAAAAAAAACACTGCATGATATTTCCTTTATGTTAAACATTGCTGCTGCCTGCCTTCTTGGAATAGAGGCAAATTAGGGTCTTCAAACCACGTAGTATTTATTGATCTGGATTACTTTATTTTTTGGCATATGTCAATTGATTCCAGCCTCTGAGGATATACTTGAGCAATAGGTTCTTGTGCAATTTTCCCCTTAAAAACAACAAAGAATAACCAAACTTGGTTGCCACCAGTGAATTAAACTTGATATCACCATTTCACTTCATCTGAAATTCACAAGTCTGATTTTTTGTGCTAAATTACAGTATTTTTCAGAGTATAAGACGCACCAGAGTATAAGACACACCTTAGATTTTGGGGAGGAAAATAAGAAACAAGCTGATTGGCAGGTGGATGGCCTCCCGGAATATTCCCAATCAGCTGTTCCCAGAGGTGAATTTTAGCAACAGGTTCCTTGGTTGTGAGCTCTGTGCCTTGCTTTTTTTTCTTTTTTTCCCCTGCTTCTGAAACTCCGTTTCAGAAAACTTTCTTTTCTGCCTCTGAAAGTCTCTGAAACAGAGCTTCAGAAAAAAAGCCTCTGAAGCTCTGTTTGGGGGCTTCTTTTCTGAAACTCTGTTTGGGGGCTTTTTTTTCTGAAGCTCTGGGGGCTTCTTTTCTGAAGCTTAATTTCTGATGCTTTTTTCAGCCTCTGAAACCTCCATTTGAGAAGCTGGGTGGGGCTACATTCGGAGTATAAAACACACCCAGATTTTCACCCTCTTTTTTGGGGGGGAAAGGTGGATCTTATACTCCAAAAAATACAGGTATCTATTTTCCATGTTAGAACTATGTATTACTGATCAAACTTCTCCTAGCCTCTTTACTCATTGTTGACAACAGCTTCTTTGCCTCACACAACCTCAGCTACCGCTTGATAACAAAAATAGGGAAACAGAAACACATTCTTGGTTTGCTATTCTTTTCATTGTTCTTTTTTCCCCCAATAGCATGACTGGTGTGACTGTTTGTGGTGAAAGAGAATTAGTGATGAGAGGCTTGGAATGTGAGTCCGGGCATTTTTTTGGTAGTGTTAGAGCTGGATATTGGGTAGGAGGCAAATAGGCATGAAAGAAGTGAAAGTAAAAAATATTAGCTTTTTTTTTCACTATGTTGATTATTAGTATTTTAAAATATTTTATAAATCGGTGTTATTTGTTTAAACTTTGAGGTGGTTGTATTGTTATTATCTCTGTACTAAAACAAAAGTCAGAGTTCATTATTGTTATATTAGTTTGATGCATAATTTTTGTCACTTTAATTTGTTGTGTTATTCCCTTTCCCTTTTCTGCCAATTTGTATTTTAATATTTAATGTTGAAATGTAACAAAGATACCATTAAAAAAAAGAAATGAAATTAAAGGTAGAATGACATGTTGATGATCTCTGGCAGGGCCAAAACGAATGTCCTAGTTTTTCTTGATCCATCAGCAGCTTTTAGTGACATCAAGGTATCCTTCTGTGGGGATTAGGGGTGGGAGAAAATGGTTCCCCCACTCCTAAATGGTTCTCCTTTCTCCGTGGTTGATTCCAGTTGGCAGTGAAGGGTGAGGAAGAGATCAATCTCAAGACCATTGAAATGTGGAGTGCTTCAGGTCTCAATACTCTCACTCCCTTTTTTAATAACTATATGAGGCTGCTTGGTGAGGTCATCCAATTTGTAGTTAGACAGTATGCTAATGATACCCCCTTATATCCTGATCCCAAGCTAACCAGGTGATTCTGAGATGTCTCAGTGTCTGGAGAAAGCAGAGGTCTGGGTGGAGAGGAACAGAAGCAAACCCTGATAAGAATGACTGGCTGTGGATGTTTGGACCATTCAGATCATGAGATGGTCCATTTTTAATCCTAAATAGAGCTGTACTTCCCACTTCAGGACTGCTGTATAATTTGAAGATCTCCTTGCACTCACAACCTCTTGCTCAAAGAGCAGATGGCAGCCATGATCAGGAATGCCTTAGCTCTAATTCATTTTGTGTGTCAGTTGAGTTCATTCCTGAACTGGGAGACCCTAAGGATAGTTACCCATACTTTGGTCACCTCGTGTTTGGATTATTGCAATACCCTATGCAGGAGGCTGCCCTTGTAGACCAACGAGAAGCTGCAGCTGGTTCAGAATGCAATACATTGGCAATTATGGACATGCCTTGGTGTGCCCATGTAATACTTATGCTTGCTGTGCTGCTTTAGTTTCCAGTACGCTTCCAGGTGCTCATTATCACCTATAAGTCCTTTATGACATAGCCCCTATCTGTCCCCCATATGATTAGGCAGACTCATCATGCTCTAGGTTCCATTGATTAAAAATCTGATGGGAGACAGGAAGCAAGCAGTCTTTGTCATATTGCCTGTCCTCTAGAGGAGGGGACTCCAACCTCAGCAACTTTAAGCCTGGAGGAATTCAACTCCCAGAATTCCCCAGCCAGCTTTGCTTTGCTGGCTGGGGTATTCTGGGAGTTGAAGTCCTCCAGGCTTAAAGTTGCTGAGGATGAAGATCCCTGCTCTAGAGCAGTGTTTCTCACCCTTGGAAACTTTGTGGACTTCAACTTCCAGAATTCCCTATCCAATATTCTGCTGCACTAGAGGGATTCCTTCGTTTCTTCTCTCTTGTGTTATGTACTATAGCTAGGATCAAAGGTAGCTTCTGTGGCCTTTCTATGGTTGTTCAGGAAGGCCTTGTTACAAATGTCCCTCTCTCTCTCTCTTTTTTTTTTTTTTTGGCATCTTCTTTTCTGCAGGGGTGGATTTTCTTCTGAGCTCAAAGGACCAGGTGTTGCAATTGGTAGCCCTGGAGATGAACTCACAGCTGTGCCTGGAGACTTGCTCAGCCCTTGAATCCATGGGCCGGATGGTTGGGGCCCCAGGAAGCGAGACAGCACGCGCCTTGGTGGAGACAATGCTGCATCGTGCACAATGCCGCCTGATGGAGGGCAAACATGTGCTAGTGATTGGGGCCGGCGGATTCAGCAAAAAGTTCGTCTGGGAGGCTGCCAGGGACTACGGGCTAAAAGTAAGATGCGGAAACACAGACCTGTGCAGCCCTTCCAAGCTGCAGGATGGACTAGCTAGAGCAGCACCACCCCACAGTCCCTGTCCGTATCCCATCAATGTCATGGGCATCACCTAAACAGAGAGGGGAGTAAACCACAGACCCACGTTACCCATCAGAAGGGCTTGCTCATTTCACTTTTGCCCGTAAAGCTGAGGAGTTGGCCTACAGGTCCCATTTCCAGCCTTGCCATCTCTCAGGAGTACTTCAAGTGGGGCGTTGGAGGGCCCAATCCAGAAGCAAGGTCCTGTTGGAAGAGTCACTGGGGATGGAAACAAGTTCTGCGGACTTCAGAGCTCCTTCCACCACTTCCTGTCTCCATGTAATAATGTTAGGATGCAGATATGGGGCAGGACAGATGAGCTAGCTGTGGAGATTGTGGATTCCCACTTTTCTCAAGAACCATCCATTCCCCGTTGTTATTTTGGCATGGTTCCTAGTCTTCAGTAGCAGCGTAAGAGGCAAAACCTGAAACTTTCATCACTGAGAATTCCTAGAATCACAGGCAGGCCTGCCCCCATCTTTCTAAATATCTTTTTCCTGATTTTTCCAGATCAGATTCAGGATATAAGTACTGTTCCCTACAGTCTTATCAGACACTGGTGTCTTCCACCTGTAGAAGAGGTAGAAATGCAGTACAGTACTGTTACTGCGACAAGAAGAAGCCATCTTGGGTTTGCTAGTCTCAAAGCTCTTAATTTCCAAGACCTACTTATCACTTGCGCAACTAACTGCCTGTTTAGAACCAGAAAGAAGGTCCCTCCAAATAAGTTGGATGTTGTATCGAAATTAGCTAAGGGGATGTATATAATAGGTCAGGGTGGGAAGATGACTGGAATGAAATGAAAACTAACGGCAAGAGTAGAAGGACGCAGACCACTGAGCCAGAGCCAGATTTAGCCTCTGAAAGCTCATTCCATTGTCCCTGAAGGTTTCAAGTGCTTTAATGTCAGCTTATTCCTCTGCGACTGAAGGATGATTTTGCCCCTCTTGGAGCCTTGATCCATTCTCCAGTTCAGACCCCGAATTGAGCACAATGGCTGCATGTGCCACAGTCATATATCCACAACTGCAGCTTTCAAAGTGGGGACGGTCAATATCCTATGCTTTATCCAAGTTCCTCCTGGAAAAATGGCTTGGCTCTGAAGTTATCCAGAGGCTTGATAGCCTCCGTGTCCCTGGAGTTCACTGCTAAAAAAGCCCCTGCAGTGAAAGAGATAACGTTGGCCCATCCCCACACCCTCGCTCTTAACTCACAAAACCCAACGCTGGCACTTCCCTGATCTAACCAGAGTCTAGCTAAAGAGTGGAAAATGAAACTGTGATTCCCTTGTTCACACAGCCCTTCCCATGCAAGCAACAGGGTCATCTTTGATTTCTCAAGACTGTGAACGCTTTTTAGCCAGCCTGCCTACCAACATGGGTATTGCCTCAGCATTAATTCCTCCTCCCAAACCTAGAGGACAATGGAGCTCTTCCTTCTAAGCCCTGCTGCTGCAGAAACGGGGATCTAGAGAAAGCTCAGAAAGCTCAACCAGCTTGATGGAATGGAATGGTCAGTTGATTGGGGAAGCATCTGTCTATTGATAGTGCCTTCTTCTTAAGGGACTCCTGTATGGTCCCTGGCCCCAAGGAGTTGGCCTTCTCTGATACTGTCTGTAGTGATGCATCTCTGATTTTTTCCCCCTCCTTCTCTGCATCTCTGCCTTTCCCTCTTCCCCACCCTGTTTCCACTCCCCTTTCCTTCTCTTCTTCTCTCATCTTTCCCATCCCCAGATCCATCTGGTGGAGACCGATCCCAACCATTTTGCCTCCCAACTGGTGCACACCTTCATCCACTATGACACCACAGACCACACGAGGGATGAAGAGCATGCCCGGAAACTGCTGGGGCTTATTCAGGAGAGGGGGCTGCATCTGGATGGCTGCCTGTCCTACTGGGATGACTGTATGGTCTTGACAGCGCTGATATGTGAAGGGCTGGGTCTGCGCTGCAGCTCCTCAACTGCCATGCGAGTGGCCAAGCAGAAAAGCCGCACTCACCAGCACTTGTTGCGGCGGTGCAAGGAGGGGTCTCGCTGGTCCTCCGCAGCACTCTATGCTGTGCCATGCTGCCACCTGGAGAGCCATGCTGATGTGGAGCGAGCTGCCAGCCATATTAATTTCCCAGGTGTCATGAAGCTCGAATATGGGGCCGGAGCGGTAGGGGTAAAGCTGGTAGAAGATGCCCAGCAATGTCATCTGCACTTTGACAAGATCACACAAGATCTGAAGGATGACTCGGATTATTTTGGCATTGGGTTGGGTTGGGGCAATAACATGCTATTGATGGAGTATGTCTCAGGCACTGAGCATGATGTGGATCTGGTGATATATGAGGGACGGATGTTGGGGGCATTTGTGTCTGATAATGGGCCCACCAGGGTGCCCAACTTTACAGAGACGGCAGCCTGCATGCCCACTTGCCTGCCCCCTGAGAGTGAAGCACAACTTATCCATGCTGCTTATCAGTGCTGCTTAGGTTGTGGTCTCACTGATGGTGTCTTCAATGTGGAGCTCAAATTGACAGCTGCAGGCCCCAAACTTATTGAAATCAATCCTCGTATGGGTGGCTTCTACCTCCGTGATTGGATTCGGGAGATCTATGGAGTAGACATCATGCTAGCTTCTGTCATGGTTGCCTGTGGAGTGGCCCCAGTCCTGCCCACACCCTCCCGTCCCCGTACAAACCTAGTGGGAGTGATGTGCTTAGTGTCACAGCATCTCCAGGCTCTCAAGTCCACAGCTAGCCTAGAGATACTTCAGGCCCTACATGAGCGTGGTGTCATCCGCCTCAACCTGCTTGAAGATGAGATCGTGTCTAAAGAATATGAGGAGCCTTATTGCAACGTGGCTTGTACCAGTTCTAGTCGCCATGAGGCCTGCATCAAGCTACTAGGCATCTGCCAGGTGCTGGGCATTGACTCCCTGCATTACCCTGTTGCTTACTTCCTCTCTCACTTCAAATAGCCTTGGAGATTCAGCTCCCTCAAGTTGGAGCTGAACTTGCATGTGTGAGAGAAAGAGAGTGAGTGTGCGTGAGAGAGAGACTTGTCTATTCCTTCTAAATTATCCTCTTCTTATTCCTAAATTTTCACCCCTGGAGTTTGCATTACACAAACTTCCTACTTACTAGTCTTTGGAGCCATTTCTGGGAAGCGTTCACACCTTGAAAGGGCTCACTTCTTTTAGGAAAGGATTCTAATAACTATTAAATCCTCCCCTTCTGCCCTCTGTGTGAGGATATTATCTTCTATTTTATTTGTGCTTCTGATTAATCTTCCTGGTCCCAGCCCCTAGTTTCTAAATTACTCATGTGCTGGACCATAGATAATGTGAAGTTCCAGGCTCTTCACTTTCTCTTTTTTTCACTGAAAAAGGGGAAGTTCCTTTAAGGTAGCCCTGCAGAGAGAGCCTGTTGCATACTTCCAGAATCAATGGAAGAGAAAGCTAAGGTCAATTCTTTAGAGCAGGGGTGTCAAACTGGCGACCTGCCGGCCGGCCATGCAGGCCACACCCACCCCAACTCCGCAAAGGCAAAAACCATCGCGATACATCATGTGACATGATTGAGTTTGACACCCGTGCTTTAGATCCAATATTTCAACAGCAACATACTACAATAAATGAGCAAGTGTATTTCTGAAAGCACAGTTTTTCCTGAAAGGAACCATTGTATGCAAACTCCATCCATATACAGGTGAGCATCTAAACACCAAACCAACCTACTTAAAAAAAAAGGATGCAAACATACAATAACAGATGTTTAGCAATAGTATGTAAGATTCAATAAGATCTGCTGGCTCCACACTTGTAAACCTTGCAAATAATAGTTTAGTGCCTTCTGATCCTTTTTAGAAGCTAATAAGGACAACTTTATTCTAATCAAACCATAAAATAATGAGGGCAACAGAACATCCTGTGATGAGTCTTCATATTCATAACTGATGCTGGGAAAAGCTACTATATATATATATATATATTATTTGTGCTTGTAAGAATAACATCTATAAGCATCCCCTTACCTCTGTAATGTGCCAAGAATTCCACAAAAGAATATTACTATAACAATATTTCCAAGCACATGACAATAATCTATTATAACATTTTCTGGTTTGCACCCCTAACTTCAAATAATCAACCTTCCAATGGAACTCCAATGACCCTAAGGTCCTACAATACTGAGCAGCCATAATGCTAGCATTAGAGTTTCTGCAGTAACAAGCTGTAATTTTGCTACCAACCTGAATTGTGAATACTATGCTTTGTGCATAATCCAAACATCCCCAAATATGTAATGCTCTTTTAGTACACTAATAATACACTTAAGCATATTTCTAACCAGCATAAAGAGCAATGAGAAAAAAGTGTAAATCTGTGCAACTGAAAAGCATTTCTATTTTTTTCATGGGTTTTTTTTTTTACCATTATCACAACAAATGGAAACTCAGTTGGCAACTGATTTGCCTGAGAAAATATTGAGAACATGAGATTTAAAATAACTAACAACTTGAACCTATTTGGATCAAAGAATTGGGAACTGGGAGCTTTAAGGTAGTCAGAGTTGGCTTATCAGTGGGAGCATTAGTTAAGCATGTCCTCTTAACTGGTTGGTGACTCTACCTGCCTATTTTTCCATAACCTCTGTAATCAAGCAGGTATAATAGGTCCTCCCCAATAAAATGCCATGCAAAAATATCAAGACTCCTGGAGTGTTCTTTACAGCTGCACCACAGCTCATTCCCCACTTAGGAATGAACACAAGAAAAGCTGGTGAAGACTCCCCAAGAAACTAATGGGGGGGAGGGGAGAAGACTTCAATTATATTGAGATGACTCTTATGGTTTTGTTAGTTTCAAAGAGACTTCCAAGTGATCCGTTTCCAGAACATTCCAGATTTTGGATTCACCACCACCTATGAAAATCTACCATTGATCCCAAGTCTTCATATCGGTTGTTCTCTTCCAACTTCATTGCTTTAGCACTGACTTACATAGGAAATTTAATTTGGACTGGATTTTATCTCCTTCCCACAGTCTGCAAAAGGGAGAACAGTTCACCCTTTTGGAATCTTTGTCTTACCTGTTCTGCATATTCAGTCCTTTTTAACAGAAGGACTGAGCTATAGGCAGGGCAAAGTTGATATTCTGTAAAACACTAAAGCAAACAGAAAAACTCATTTACAAGCACTGGTCTCAATTCTGACCTACATAAACCTTAAGATTCAATCTTTTCAACTTTGGATGAAATATGACATTTTCAAAACTTCCCATCAGAAACAAGCTTCCTTCACAGGATCTAAACTAAATATTTCCTACTGCTTCTTATTGGTTCCACCAAAGTGTTTATTAATTCTGAAGATACAAATTGCATCATGAAGTAGATCAGGTTATGTGACAAGAATGCATAAGGCAGATTGAAAGAAATTGGGTTTTGTTCAAGGACCCACTCCATGTTGCCAGGGATTTGCAACATTTTGTCAGCGATGGAGGTTGCTAGGTAGTATGAGAAAAGCCCTTGAACGATGAATTGTTAGAAGGCAGCCTTAAACCAGAAAGGGATATGTTGGTAGTGGGAATGGCTGTGGAAGAAAAAAATAAAGAGCCAAGCAATTTCTATTTATTCATGGAAAATGTCTGAACTCTACATCCTCAGTAATTTCCTCCAGAAATCTTTGAAAATTTAAACTCTGTGGGGTCATAGAGTACTCTCCAGAATGTCAGTCATTGGTTCTTTGCTGAGATTGTGGACAGAAACAGTGTTTACAATCTGAATGTCAAAATTTAACATACTGTATCTTCCCCTATTCTTTAGATGCCATGGGCAGCTATTCTGTATGGAGTCAAGCCATCGCCTACCACTTCGTTGCTACACCAACTGGCAATACTTTGGGTTTCAGACGACATTCTGTTTCTGTACTGCTGGGAGATGGCAGAGATTAAAATAGGAAACTTGTGCATGCGAAGAAGATACACAACATCACAATCATAGCCCTTTCACAGATAGCATTTTCAGTTGCAAAATATGGATCTGGGTCTATGAGTTCAGGGATGGTGAAATTAAATTCTCTCCATTCAGAGTTTGAAATCATATCTAAGAGGAATAAGAGAAAATTTAAACTATTTCCTTGGGAGTTTTACTGCTCTAGGGAACTAAGCAAAATGCTAAGTCAAACTCCTTGGTGGCTTTGCAAAAAACTTCAGTAGCACTAATAAGAGCACTAACTTCTCTGATAGGCCATTAGTGACCTCCTCTACCTACAAGGAAACCAAAAATAAAATAGTTCATGAGAGCAAACTTTAAGGATGATGGTATCAATTGAAATAAAAAAAAGCTCTTTGTGGATCCAAAAAGATTAGTTCGGAACTAACATACAATAACAAGATTGAAGAGGCATTGGACCTCTTCTAGTCCAGAGGTCACCAACCTTTCAGATCACAGGGACCACTAAATTCATAATTTTAAATCCTGCGGACCACTAATATGATCTGCCTAATGATCGGCTGGGTGGGCGTGGCTAGGTGGTTATATGACTGGGTGGGTGTGGCCAACTCGATGTTACTTGCGTTGAGGGGCACCTCGCCAGCCTCTAATTTTCCGTCCCCTCCCAGCCACTCCTCGCCTGCACGCTCAGGCTCCTTAGGGCCCCAAGAGGAAGTAGTTGTTGGAGCTAAGCAGCCACCATGAGAAAGAGTTGGCAAAACAGCTGGCTCTGTTCAAATTGGATCTGACCGAGAAGGAGGCTCAGCAGAAGCACCTCACTGAGGACTACAGGCATAGGTTTTCAAAGCAGAGGGAAGACCTGTGGGAGTGCAAGGCCAGGTACCGGCGCCTGGAGGCCATGATGCTGGCCATGATGTGCCTGGAAGCCAGTTCCAGGCCATGATGCAGTCTCACTAGAATGAGGCCTTCTGGCTCTTCACCACCAGTGGTGCTTCCCTCCAGCCTTCGTCCAAAGTCCTGCACCAGGAAGCTGAAGCAGACCCCAAGTCGGAATTTCTGCCCCTCTCTGACTGGAACAAAAAGACCCCAAAGGGGGAGACTCTCTGCAGCAACACAAACATTCATTGCACATATCCGGCCCAAGGGACGTAGTTTGAGGACCCCTGATTTAGTGCAATATAAAAAATGCAAATAATTTTTCTGCGGACCACCAAAATTTTCTCATGGACCACTAGTTGGTGACCGCTGTTCTAGTCCAACCCCTTGCTTGAGCAGGAGACCTTATACCATTCCAGACAAATGGTTGTGCAATGTCTTCTTGAAAACCTCCAGTGCTGGAGTTCCCACAGTTTCTGGCAATAAGCCATTCCACCAATTAATTGTTCTCACTGTCAAGAAATTTCTTCTTTGTTCTAAGTTGTATCTCTCTTTAATGATGTTCCACCCATTACTTCTTGTCCTGCCCTCAGATGTTTTGGACAATAGGTCAACCCACTCTTCTCCATGAGAGCCCTTCAAGTACTAGAAGACCACTATCATGTTACCCCTAGTCAGTGGTGAAATCCAATTTTTTTTACTACCGGTTCTGTGGCGTGGTTGGTGGGCGTGGTGCGGCTTGGTGGGCGTGGCAGAGGAAGGATCCTGCAAAGTCTCCATTCCCACCCCACTCCAGGGGAAGTATCTTGCAAAATCTCCATTCCCACCCCACTCCAGGGGAAGGATCCTGCAAAATCTCCATTCCCACTCCACTCTGGGGCCAGCCAGAGGTGGCATTTGCTGGTTCTCAGAACCTGCTGGATTTCACCCCTGCTTTACAGGCATATTTGGACCCTTTAATACTGGGCTTCTCAACCTCAGCTACTTTAAGATGTGGGGAGTCCAACTCCCAGAGTTTCCCAGTCCCTGGGAAATTCTGGTAGTTGAAGTCCCCACATCTTAAAAGTGGACAAGGTTGAGAAACGCTGCCTTGGAAAAAGAATCCAAGTTGCAAAAGAGATGTTTTCTTCTGCCTCAAAAGATTTTTCCCAAAGATTGCACCGATATCTGGAAGGGAGTTTGGGAAGAGCGTATAAGAGAACTGGAGCAAATGGGACATTTGGGGGAAAATTCTCGCTTGACAAGGAAAGCTAACTGGAGATGATCAAGTCCTGCAGAAGTGGCTAATTGGTAACACTCACTGAAACAGATCCTCGAGGCCAGAGCTGCAGGAGGCTGCTGAAAAGCAGCTTCATTATGGTGTTTCCCAAAGAAAGGGCAACAAGAGAAATTTGGGGCTTTCAGGCTTCTACCGTAAATCTTGGATCGGAAGAAACCACGGCTTCCAATCTGCCCCCTTTTCTAAACTTAGAGTGGGGGGGGAATCACCAGGAGCAAATCAATTGCACCAGAAAGGGGGAAGTTGCAGGCTTGTAACCAATGGCAGGAAAAGACCAGAGGGAGAGTTATATGCAAGTGAGCAAGTCTCTCACTTTTCCAGTTTCGCTTGATAATGGCATTGTTCTCTTGTAAGTGATAGTAGGATTTCAGAAAACAGCTTTCAGATCGATAGCCATGCTGCTGTTTTCCCATCTAGAACACATTTTAAGTTATTTTCCAAAAGCGGTTCATGAGTGTTTCTAGGTGCATTTCTTTCTTTCCCTTTCTTTTACCTTTTAAAAGCATTTTTAACTACCGGTTCCAGAGAACCGGTAGTAAAAAATGCTAAAAAAAGAAGGAAAAAAAAAGTTCCAACCATTGGGCCTCGCTCAGCTGATTGTCGGAACTTTTCTTTTTTTACTTTTTAAATGCTTTAAAATAAAACAATAAAAACATGTTACTTAAAAAACACATTAACGACAACCGGGCGGGTGGGTGGAGCCTCATGCTGCCATCGCTAGCAGTTCTCCGAACCACCTGCCACGATCGCTACCGGATCACCTGATCCGGTGCGAACTGGGAGCATTTCACCCCTGCCCCTAGTCCTTCTCTTCATTAGACTATTCTGTTAAACTTTCATCATACAGTTTAGCCTTCAGCCCAGTGGTGAAATCTGAACCCGTTTACTACCGGTTTGCTGCTGCGCATGCGTGCTGCGTGCCAAACGTGCACTGTGCACATGTATGCAGTGTGCACCATGCACAAAATATGAGGTGCACGCACACACATACGTGCGTGCTGTGCATGCCAAAAGCAGGTATGGGGTAAGTAGAACAACAAGCGGGGGGGGTGATCAGCTGTGGCGCACAATCTTCGGAGCCTTTTTTTTTTTACTTTTAAAAGCATTTTTTTACAACCTATTCGCCCGAAAAGGTTGTAAAAAAATGCTTTTAAAAGTTTAAAAAAAGGCTCTGACGATGCGTGCCACAGCTGTGATCGTCGGAGCCTTTTTTTTACTTTTCAAAAACATTTTTACTACCAGTTCTGGAGAACTGGTAGTAAAAAAATGCCTAAATAAAAAAAAAGTTCCGAAGATCATCTGAGCGACATGTGATCTTCGGAACTTTTTTTTTACATTTTTTACTACCGGTTCGGCGAACTAGTAGCCTTTTTTACTACCAGTTCAGGCGAACCGGACTGAACCGGGAGCATTTCACCTCTGCTTCAGCCCTTTATTTTGTTGCCCCTCTCTGTACTCTTTCTAGAATTTCAGCATCTTTGTATCACAATTTACCAGAACTGGACATAGTATTCCAGGTGTAGTCTCACTAGGGCAGTATAAAGTAGCACTATCATTTCATGTGATCTTGATAATACTATCCCTCTGGTGATGCAGCCTAGGAAACATTCTGAATAAATAGTTATTCTTGGTTCATAATTTGGAAGCACCCAAGCAACAATCATTTGGTAAGATGAAGCCTGAAGGAATACAGAATTATTTCTGTAAGAAGCTACTAGATTAGAATTTTTCAAACTGGGTTCTATGAAACCAGTGGTTGGAACCTGATCTTCTCAAAGTTCCATAGACTAAAGGCAATCCCACCTCCTTTCTCTGTAGTGGACTAACAAGAAAAAAAGATTTCTGTAAAATACAATAGAAAAGGTGGGACTTTTCTGCTGATATTCAGAAGGTTCACATCTCTTGATCAGAAGTTCTGGAATGGGAGTTTTTGTTTGCTTGTGTAACAAATAGGCTTTAAGGCTCAAAAAAAAATGAAATTCCTATCCAGATTATCTCTATAAAATTACCATATTACAAAATCTGTGATTGTAAGGCTCCACTAACTAAAAAGTAAGTTCTTTTAAATTCAAGAAGACTTGGGTCTTTCTAGAGTTAGTGATTTCAAGCATTATCCCTTCAGCTGTAACTATAGTTTGCATCATTTTCTGTTTGATGAGGTAAAGGAGCCTGAGTGGCATAGAAGGCTAATGCCTCCTAAGGCAGCATTTAACATCCAGCTGCCTGCAATTACTGTGAGTTCAATTCTCCCCAGGCTCAAGGTCGACTCAGCCTTCCATCCTTTCTAAGATAGGTAAATTGAGGACCCAGTTTGTGGGGGCAATAAGCTGACTTTGTATAAATATACAAAAGTATGAAGGCTATTGCTTAACGCATTGTAAGCCGCCCTGAGTCTCCGAAGAAGGGCGGCATATAAATCAAATTTTTTAAAAAATATATGTATAAGAAAGGGGAAATTCATAAGCATATCATATGAAAACATTCCCACATATTTTAATCAATGTGCATAAATGTGCACTACAAACTTCAAAAAGTATTTTATGACACTGGAAAAAGATACTAAGGATCCTGTTTCAAAATAAGATACTGTACATTGTGATAGTTCTTCCATTCAAAATGTTACAGTACTGTGTAGAAAGTTGTTACCCACTCCTCTCCTAGAAGAATGAAATATTTTAGGAAATATTAAAAAGGCAGAGTATTATATTTCCATGGATGAGAAATGGAGAAACATGTTTTTTTAGAGGCAGGAAGCAGAGTCACTCTTAATAGCCCCCACCTTTCTTAATAGCCCACAGCAGATGTCAGCACTTAAGAGATAAAGAGACAGATATTCATAAGCAAATTCCCTGCAGCAAGGTCTCAACAAAGGGTTAGCCTTTTGTGGCTGAGGGTTAGCCCTCAGCCACAAAAGGAATTGCCCAAAAAGCCCCTTCATTGCATCAGCCCAAACTTCAACCAAACCAAGCTCAGACAAACTCCTAGGATTTGTACACAGCCCCATGGGAGTCTGACAACAGCCAATAGAATGCATGTCCTTGCACAGGAACAGGAAGTTCAAGTGCAAAGCCCAAGAGAAGGTATAAATAACCCCCCCACTCTCAACTGCATGTGATCAGCTACCTAGAATCACATGTGCTTCATCAATAAATGGACCCTCTTTCCAATCAGCCTCCAGCCTCCATTTTGTCTCCAGTGCCTTTCTCCTGGCTTGGAACTGAACCAGATGGATATTTCTTCCAACAACTGCAATACCAAAGACACGCCCTTTCAAAAAACTGGGAGCATAATCTATCTAGTGAAGACCATATTATATTACCACCACACAAGACACCCACACACCATTTTTTAAAAAGTAAGATTTTGTATAGCCTGAGGAAAGGAAAGCAGAACTGAGAAAATAAAGTCTGGGTCATAGCACCATATGTGTGTCCTGTAAAAGCTCCTGAATAAAGCATGACTATTCTGGAAAATAACATGTGTTACAAAAGCACTCTTAAATAAACAAACAAAAAAATAGTAAAAAGGGCTCATGAAAAACTTTTTCAGGCTTATTTTAACCTAACTATTCATTTCTTGACTTTATTTAAATTGAGAAGAAAAGAAAATTCTACTTCTACTACTACGTAACTAAATGAATATCACAATGTAATTGACAAGGTTCAGGTTCAATTCTTTTTTCTTCTAAACAAGCTAAACAGGTGTTTAGTCACCACAACTGGTTCCGGTAACTCTTTTATGAAATGAAGCAATTGCTAAGTGTAAATCATGTGACCATGACTGTGTTTACAATTTTACTTCTGTTGGAATTCATTGTTGGAATGTATTTTTATGCAACAACTACAGTAGTGTCACTGCGTTTTTGTATTTACCAGATGAGCTCTTATTTTTGGACTTTCAGACTTACCATAGCTTGCCAAGTTCTTATCAGTAAGCTAACTGCGCATGTCCACATTCCTTCACTTGCTTCTCTCTTTCTTTGTTCTCCGGCCAAGAGAGGTGGCTGGGAAAGCTTTGCCAAAATGTAGTTAATTAGCCAGTAAGATGTTTTATTTTCTGTATAACAAATAAATGAGTTTTTCTTAGAAAATATATCTTCGGGTTTATTTTCTTAAAGTATACTTCAAGGAAATAGTCACGATCCATTCTCTAATCAAGGTGCAATTACCCAAAAGCAGAATGGGATTAATTGCCACCCTGACAAGTAGTATTCAGGCAGTAGATGGCAGCATTTAAAGTTTGGATCTATGGTGTATACTATATATATATATATATATATATAATAAGTTTATTTGTCAAATATACTCTATGTTCTTTAGTCCTAAACAGAGTTTCCTGTTTCCTGTTACAATTAAAAATAGTTGAGCAATAAAGCAGATGATGACTGTACTCTTTGCACTATGGTGCTATATATTTGGTTCAGGATTTGCATTGATTTGCTCAAACATTTGCATTTATTTAAAGAATGAAATCCATGGGAGTCAACATTACTTTTATGCTTTTCCTAGTGTCATCCCCATTCCCAAGTTCTATTGCATTTCATCATCCCTGATTTTTATTAATTCAGTCATCAGAATGTTTTTGTTGTTGTGTTACTCTAAATGTAGTTACCAAAAGGGAAGAGAGGAATTAAAGGGCAAAGCTACAGCTGTGAGGCCAGGGAGGCAGGAGGATGAAAATGATTCAGAAACAGAGCTTCAAATTACTCTTATCTCATTTTTGGCTCAAGTAAATTTGACAATCAACTATACTTCTGATCTAAACATCAATTTTAAGAATTCTTTTTATTTTTTATTATTCTTATAGTATCTATAATGGTCATTATGTGATCCTAATAGGCAGGGATGGGTTCTAATTTTTTTTACTACCGGTTCTGTGGGCGTGGCTTATTTTGTGGGGGTGGCTTGGAGGTCATGTGACTGGGGTGGGCGTGGCTAGCTGATCATGTGACTGGGTGGCCATGGCTATGTGTATAGGGATTACTCAGAGGGCTGAAAAAAGTCATTTCTGGCAGGTCCTCACACTTTTGACTGGTCCTCACACTTATGATCATCCTCACATTTATGCCCGTGCAGCATTCTTAACAACCATGTCACTCATTTCACAACTGCTTCTTCTCACCATGGTGACAAGACAGGGCAAAAAATGTAAAATGTGAGGACAGTCGTAAGTTCGAGGACTGGTCAAAAGTGCGAGGACCAGTCAAAAATAACTTTTTCAGCCCTCCGAGTAGTCCATATGCACAAAAGGATTCAATTATTTCTTCAAAGTGCTGATGATTGCACCCTGGCTGGAAGAACTCCAACAGGGGAGTATTTCCTCCCAACAGCGGTGTAAAAAGCTTAAAACAATTCTTCCCCTTTAAGAAAGTCAAGCAAAAAAATAGCCTCCGGAACGGGAAGTGACAGTAAGTCTAGGCATACTGCCGGGGAGGCAGTTTCTGTAACAAAGATTAGGCTAGGAAACAACACCAAATGTTGTAATTAATCCTTACAGGATTAACCCTGTAAAGTGGAAAAAGACAAAAGGAGATTTCTTTTAACAACCGGTTCTCTGAACTGCTTAACTACTTAACTACTTAACAACCGGTTCTACCGAAGTAGAATCCCACCACTGGGTCTACCCATTTATTTTTGCAGGCACCGGTCTACTCATTTGTTTTCTTTTAACACTGATCAGCTGTAGGAACTCAGGAGGCAGCAATAGATTTGGGGTGGGGCCAAATAAAAGGTAAGAATAACGGGTGGGGGGGGCAGAACCGGTTCAGTGACGTCATATCGTCACCGCTACCAGCTCGGCCTAACCGGGCCGAACCAGGAGGAACCCACCACTGCTAATAGGATTACAGATACTCCTCACTTATCAATAGCATTAAAACTGGAATTTCCCATCACTAAGCAATGCATTTATAAAGTGTCATGTCACATGACCACATTGCTTACTGATGGCGGTGCCAGCACTTCTCATTATTGTCATGTGAGGATTGCAGGCCATTAAACAAGGACCTTGTCATGACTTCCTGCCAACATCTGACAAGCAAAGTCAATGGGGAAGCTAGCAAGAAATTGCAAGTCCCAGGCGGCTTGCAAACAGGTTGGCAGACAAATAAGCGATTACTGCTGGGTGGGTGTGCAAGTGGCTGGTACAGTATGAGTGTGGTGGGGCTGGAAATGAGTGCTGCTGGGTAAGGGAGGTTGTGCAGGTGGCCAGTGTGGTGCAGCTTGAGTGCAGCAGAGCCAGCAATGGTAGCTGCCGGGTTTCAGAAACTTAGTAGAGTGATGTGCACCCTTTCCTGCCAGCTTTCCCACTGATTTTGCTTGTTGGAAGCCAGCAGGAAAGTTTGGAAATGGTGACCACTTGACTACAGGATGCTGCAACTTTCATAAATGCAAGCCAATTGCCAAGCACCCAGATTGCAATCATGTGATCATGGGGGCAATGGGACGCCAAACTTTGAGGACTCATTTTAAGTAGCCCTTGTTAGAACCATTGTAACTTTGAAATGGCTAGGCTAGACTAGGCTAGGACAGGACAGGACAGGACAGGACAGGATGACAGAGTTGGAAGGGACCTTGGAGGCCTTCTATTCCAACCCTGCTCAGGCAGGAAACCCTATACCATTTCAGACAAATGTTTGTCCAGTCTCTTCTTAAAAACTTCCAGTGTTGGAGCATCTACAACTTCTGGAGTTAAGTCATTCCACTGGTTAATTGTTCTAACTATCAGGAAATTTCTTAGTTCTAGGTAAGTTCTCTCCTTGATTAATTTCCATCCGTTACTTCTTGTCCTGTCTTCAGATGCTTTGCAAAATAGGTTGATTCCCTCTTTTTTGTGGCAACCACTTAGATATTGGAACACTGCTATCAAGTCACCCCAATCCTTCTTTTCATTAAACTAGACATACCCAATTCCAGGAATCGTTCTTTATATATTTTAGCCTCCAGTCCCCTAATCATCTTTGTTGTTCTTCTCTGCACTGTTTCTAGAGTCTCAACGTCTTTTTTATAGCATGACCAAAACTCACCAACAGTCCTAATATTGCAGAATATACAGCCTCATGTTACATAACTAACCTCCATTTCATGCTGAATAAACTAAATTATTAATGTATCTTAAATAGAAAACTATCTTTAGATAGATTTTTTATTCCAAAAGCATTTCATTAAAATAAATTTGATAAAAAAATAATAAAAAGATTTAAATCAAAAACATCCAATTTAAATTTTAAAAAATCAGATTTTTTTAAAAAAACATCAATTTTTATCCACCCTGGGTCTAAAGCAGTTTTTTTTTTTCAAATATGGCAACTTCTAAGATGTGGCCGGAGAATTCTGGGCATTAAAAATCCACACATCTTAAAAGTTGCCACATTTGAAAAACACAGCTCTACAGGAAAGGGAAGTCTGAGGAAGTCATGGCTGGATGGAAACTCGCCTATATATATTTCACATATATATAAAAGGTAAAGGAGTCCTGTGGATTTTACTCTGCTAGTTGTTGCCGATATATATATATATAAAATATGTGTTTTCGTAGATTTTCACAGGTACAGGTATGTAAGTCTTGGTGTATTCGGGTCTTTTCCCGTGTAAGATTGACAAGCATGAAGCCAAAGACACCAGCCTGAAGATGACGAGTGGGACCTTGTCAAAATGTCGCCAAGATACTCTCAATCTTACACGGGAAAAGACCTGAATACGCCAAGACTTGCAATATTATGTGTGTATATACCACCCCATATAGTCGGCAACGAGTAGCACAGGCACACAAAATTACCTCATTAATTCATTCCATTTCTGTAGCCACCCAGCTGAACCAACAGACTCTTGTACAATAAATACACTCCTGTCTCTTGGTATGCAGCGAAGGCTCATCCCGGCCAACCAGTTCTATGCTAACAAGCGACTCCACCTAAAACATCATTTTACCCGCAAGGTCAGCCTTGCTTTCCTCTCCTGTCAGGCGAGACCGCTAGAGGTCGCCCGTGAGCTCAACCACACCGCTTCCTGGCTCTCGCACGCTGCGCCAAAACGACAGTCGCGCCCGACACGTGACGACAGCAGTCGCATCGCTGGGCGGGGTAAAGGCGGTGACGAAAGGCAAAGGGGCGTGGCCCGGAAGTCCACGGGCTACTTGGGGAGCCCCCGATATGGCCGGCGTCTTCGACATCGACCTGGAAACGGAGGAAGGGAGCGACGGGGAGGAGCCTGAACTGGGGGCCTTGGTGAGGCGGGATGGAAGACGATAGAGGAGAAAGGGGTGGGTCCAGCCAGAGGAGAAGGGAAAAGAGCCCAGCGCAGAGTTTCTAATGACTTCAGTGGGGGTTACTCCCGAGTGGGGCAGGGTTGGGGTGGGCAGACCTCGTTCATCCCCTGTATTGCTGCTGCTGCTGCTGCTGATCATCTGCTCTGTGTCTTCCTCCACCCCGCTTGTCTCTTTTAGGAAGTGGACCCCGATTTTCGTAGCAGTAGCTCAGAGTAAGTACCTTGCCAGCTCTAGGTTGTTTTGCTTCTTGGCGTCACCCCAGTCTGCCTTTGGGCGGAATTCTCCTGGGTTTCTTAGGTGATGGATGCACTCACACACTATTGGAAAATAGGCTGGCAAGAAAGGGTGAAATTGTCCCCACCCTGGCTCAGTATGGTGTCAAGCAGCTACTTCTTCCATTCTTTTAAAATGGCTTCTTCTAACTTGATCGCCATGTGGGCAGGGCAACAATTCCCATCATCCCCATACAGGATACTTGTAGGGCTGGAGACAGTGGGACCTGTCCTTGATCAGAGAGAATCCACTGGGGAAAGAACTGCAAAATGCAAATTGTGTCAACCTAAAACATGTGATGAGATTTCTAGGTGCTGCATAGGCAAAGTGACAGGTCGGCATTTTGAGAGCGGAGATGTAAACATTTCAAGGGGACATGAAATGTCCTTGTTTCGCTACAAATTGCCCCGGTTAGATTCCTGATGACGGCGATAAAGTCTATTCTTTGGCTTCCCTGACTGAAAATTATCAGAACAAATCAAAGTGTCTGCCTTGCTGACTCAGAGACTGAGACCCCACTAATTCAACACTGAGTTCCTAAAACTGTCATCTACAGTAGTTCAAAGTCTGTGGGAGATGCTCGGATCACAGCATGATGGTGATGGCATAAGTATTTTGCATTTATAGTGGATTTCTAGCTGTTTTCAACAAATGCTATTCCTAGAGGCTGCCTTTATTGTGCATTTGTCCTTTTGGCATCTGAACCAATCACCATCACCATTGTAGGGTAGAGAACTGAATGTTCATCACAGCCTGTGCTAAAAGCAATCTTTGGAAAGTCAGTCTATTCACTGACCCAAGAGTGTCTGGGATTGTTATAAAATGGTGAATGTAACCAAAGGTGGCTTAATCTTAATGAAAAACACTCTCATGCAAATTGAGGCATCCAGTTTCCACTTAAGCACCCAGAAAACCAGTTCTATGTAGTGATTAAAGAAACTGGGAGAGTTGAGTTCTACACCTTCTTTAGGCATGAAAACCAATCAGGTGGTTTTCAGCCAATTGCCCTTTTAGTCCAAACCACCTCACAGGGTAATTGTAGTGGAGGGGAAAAGAAGCAGGAGCACTATATATCCTGCCTTCATTTGTACAGGCAAAGGTGGGCTATAAATCTGATAGTGAAATTAATAAAATTAAAATCTCTCTGAAGTTGCTCCTGGACTGAATTGTGACAGAGGGTTGAAATGGGTAGAGTAGATTCCAATGCTCTCTAACATATACAAAGCACTGTGTGATAAAGAAAAGCCATCACTTTAATGTGCCTCTAATCAGTGTAGTGGACCTCTAAATTAGTACAGCTTCCCTCCATTACTTTCTTCTTCAATTAACATTCTAATACTTTATCTGTTCATTCATGTACATTGAACAAGGCAAGCAGCATTTGGTTGCCACTTTGTGACTGATAGAGATCATGGTTTTGGTATACATACTAACTACTATAATTCCCCTTGGGAATGTCACATTTGGCACAATGGTATCTGGAGTATTCTAGAGTATCACATTGCTATAAAGAATTTCCTTTATTTCTTTTTGGCTTTGATCCTGATTTAAATCAATTGAAGGAAAGTTGTTTTCCATATCAGTATCTTCCCCAGTACTGTGCACATCCCATATCACATTATGGGATCCTTGGCTCTCTGCTAATAGCTGCAGGAATAGGCAGATATAGATAACTTTCCTTTCTTTGAATTTTAATTTATCCTAAGGTTCAGACTTGTACTTTCATAAAAGGCACAATGCAGTTACGCTGCCATCTCTTCATCATCTCTTCTTTTGATTTTCAAAAATTGGACCCTCCTCATTTCTGGAAAGTCTCACACTTTTGCCTTGCCCTTCATTTATATGTTTTTTGGAGGGTGGGGAAACGATATAAGATTAATCTCTTTCTTCTCTCCACAGTTTTGTGCCAGGTTATTATGAGGAAATTGAAATCTCTGAAAGCAGCGTCAACAATGGCTCAGAACGCATTGGGCCCCACTGCTTTGAGCTACTACGTGTTTTGGGAAAGGGTGGTTATGGCAAGGTAAGCAATTCCTGAAGAGTGAGTGTGGAGGCAGAGAGTTCAACCCTCAACCAATTGGGAGAAAAAAAATCATTTCTAGTAGAAGAGCTAAGTAGCTACATTGGCCTAGAACCTTAGGAAATAAGTGTATTTGTTTCTGTATGGAGGAGCATTCATCTTGGGACTGCCTATCCAGAGTCTGAAATGCTGCAGTTTAGACTGGTTTGTCTCCTTGGGAGAAGTAAGTTACCACATTGTGAGAAAGCATGTTGACTATCAGTGGAGAACTGATGAAAACGTCCTTAAAAGCCTTTAATTAATCAGAAGGCACTGTTATTAAAGCTCTCTAATCAGGAGTGTGAGAATAACATTCTGTATTGCCTTCACCCCATACTGTTTAAATGGTCTTGCTTGTTCTTAGATGTTTTTTTTTAAAGAGAGGCTGAGTGCACAATGTTAAGGAGTATGAAAACCCAGTGTTTGGGTTATTGGTATCTGATTTTCATAAAAGAGAAGACAGTTCTCTTTCCTCACTCTTTCCTCTGCTGGATAGCTGTGTTGCTCACTTGAAGATTTTGCTTACTGCTTCCATTTGTGTTTTAGGTGTTTCAAGTGCGGAAAGTTCAAGGCACAAATTCTGGGAAAATCTTTGCCATGAAAGTGTTAAAGAAAGTAAGTATTTATCTATCTACAGCTCTGTGTGCCTTGTTAAATATTTTTGTGAGACCATAATTCTCTCTGAATATCTCCTGCAGGCCAAGATTGCCTGTAATGCCAAGGACACAGCACACACAAAGGCTGAGAGAAATATTCTGGAGGCCATCAAACACCCATTCATAGTAGACCTCATCTATGCTTTCCAGACTGGTGGCAAGCTCTACCTCATCCTGGAATGTCTCAGTGGTATGGAAACAAAGCTCGATGGAAAGGAAACAATTGCAGTGGATTTGGCCAAAAGCCTGGGACTTGATTCTTCTTGTTCTGTGTAGATTTTAGAGGTTGGGTCAGACATTGCTGGAGAAGACTGATGGTATCTCTTTGTGCTTTGCTTCATAGGAGGAGAACTCTTCATGCAGCTGGAACGGGAAGGCATCTTTCTGGAGGACACAGCCTGGTTAGTGAAAATGCTACCTAAGGTGAACTGGAATAGCCACAAAGATTGGTATTCACCATAGGCTTTGTCTCTTTTTTCTTACCATGCCCAGAAGTAAGGTGACAATAGAGGCAACTGGAAATCTTAGAGTGGGGTAAATCTCTCTGTACCTCGCAATCATTCTGAAACACCCACTGAGTCCTACCAAGGGGTCCTGTTCAAAGTGATTCAGTTCCCCTTAGCTAAGGGTGGGAAGACAGGCATAGGCCATTTCAGACATTTTTTGCAGGATGCTTTATGGATAAAGTCAATTTTGTTTGGCTAGATCTGGGTGCTATCTAGCCAAACACAGCAATGGTGATATCTAGTGATATTTTCTGAATTCCTGTGAGCTCATATAACCAGAAGAAGTGGCTCTAGTGCTTTTTAAGCAGAGTTCAGCCACCTGGCCTTTTTCAGGTGGCCTAATGGGATGTATATGTGGCTGGATGTGGGAAGTAGTTCATGCTTTTCTAAAAAAGCATTAACTACTTCCATCTGCCATAGCAGTGCCATCTGCCATAGCAATGTGATCATGCACCCTTTAAGAGACTATCTCTTGATCTAGCTCTATTGGACAATGTTTATGCAGTCTCCATTTTTGGAAAATGTTGTGGAGTGGTGTTGGCAAGTCAGCTACAAGTGGATTATCTGGATCCCTTGAAGTCAGACTTCAGGTCCAGATATGGGATGTAAACAGCATTGGTGCTTTAGTGGATGATCTTCATGGCAACACCCTGGTCTTATTACACCTCTTCTCCTTATGGGCTTGATGGGTTTGCTGCTACCTAGTGGATGGTTTCAGTCAACGTGGGATGTTGCTTCCAAACTGAGTCTTCTTGTTAATCAACATTTATACATAACCACAAGGAGAGGCCATCTGTCAGTTCATTGAAAGGTATTCTTGGTATGTTGATGAGATTCAATTCTTCCTTGCTATTCCTGCTATAAGTGGCTTATGGGTGAGGAGGTTATATCAAATGTATGTAGATAATTTCTACTGCATTTTGAAATGTACAAACTCTTGTTTTCAGATATGTAAAACACATGGCAAAGCAGTGCCCAAGTGCCAAGTGGGGAAGGTGGGGAGAGTTAACTAATGAAAGAAGGCCACTGTATTTAAATATATGGACAAATTTCCACCACCCTTCTCAGATTGCCCAGTCTCATAATTGCATGTGGCAGTTTGTGTTCTCCTCCTGAT